CACCTAAAGGAGGAACCCCCCCCCATTTTCCAAAACGAAATTCAGGCCCTGTCTGAACCTTTTTCACCAAATATATTTACTTAAAGTACCCCTGAGATTTTAAAATAAGTATTTTAATAGTGAAGTAACACATTTGCATGTTCACGGTTCTCTGACGTTTGTTAATGATCACATGGCATGCAGGTAAACAAATAAAATATTACATTTTTTTAGTAAGTGTTTTATTTTGATTGATGTTATTTTAAAATGATTTCTTTTAATTTTACATTTTGATTTAATTAATTATTAGCTTTTCATTAAACTCATAAACCCTCTGCAGTTCCTTCAGGAACCCAGTGTGGTAAACCTTGACAATTTAATGCGCTTCATGTTGTTAATAATAACAAATGGAATATATTTTCTTACTCTTTCTATTTTTATAACAATATGGTCCAAGATTATCCTATTTAAATCAATGTGATAAACAAGTTAGGTCAAAAGTAATCTAAAAGTAGTCAACAAATAATCAGATTATATTACCTAAAATGTGTTATGTAATTGATTACATTACTAACTACAATTTTTATCATGTAATTTGGAGTGATTTTAGCAAATGGCTGCAATATAACAAAGAGTGAAAAATTGAAGGGGGTCTGAATACTTTCCGTACCCACTGTATATATAATACATACATACACACACAAGCACATGACAATATTATTACAATGCTACAATACAGTTACAATACTACCTACTTCTCACACAGGTACCAAATGCAATGTAAGTTCAGAAAAATTATGATCAAAACGTTATTTTGGAATATGAATCTTCTTGAGACTTGCCAGGATCAGTGATCATTTCCTCACCTTCATGTCATTCCAAACCTGTCTGCTATTATTTCATAAACAGATCTTTTGACAAATGTCTCAGTGTTTTTTTTTTTTCTACGCAATGAAAGTCGGTGGGCTATGTTTTTGTTCGGTTGTTCCACTGAAGAAAGATGGTCATACAGGTTTGGAACGATATGAGAGAAAGTAAAATTATGACAGAATTGTATTATTTTTTAGTCCCTTTAATAATGAATTTAATCACTATCCCTCTAATTATTCAATCAAGATTTGTGTTTTTGGTAGACTAGGTAATATTGAAGAGCAGATGCTAAAGTATTGTCAAACAGACATTTATTATTTCTTTTTAACTTTAAAAAAGTTTCCTTTTTAAGTTAATATGTGGATTAGTAATCATATCATTTGACATTTGACACTAAACTGCTTTGCTTATGCATACCTTGTCTTTACTATGCGCACTGTTTACCCTCAAACTTCAGTTTCAACCCTCAGTATTTATTATTGTATGGAATAGTAAGTGTTTTTACCTGTTCCTGCTAGGGATATGCAGTTAATGTGACAATTCCTGCATAAAGGTTATATATTAATTAATTTATATATTGAAATTACAAGCTATAATTTTGTTTTAACCCTTTTTTCTATCCTTTTGTTCATCCTTAGTGAATTCTAGTGACTGGAACTTGTGTTTATTGAATAGGCCTAAGTGCTGAATTAAAACAGTCAGTGAAGTGGTTAATTAATGACCTGCTTGTTCCACAGTTGTGATGTTTTGGGAATAAGGGCGGCAAACAGAAAGAGTGGATTGCATCACAGGACTAGAGAAGAGACTCAACAATGAAGCTCAGTCACCACAACCTCAACACTTGAGCTCAGCATCATACAAGATGAAAACAGTATGGTAATTTAATGTTGTTTTTGTCATCCCTCAGCACTCCCTTCACTGTTCTCCTTGTTCACTGCAACACAATTAACTGACCACTACTTTATCAAGACACAAGTCACAAGAAAGAAGAAGACTTTCTTCTTTCAGACGAGTCCAGTCGGAATTATATAAAAAATTGTCGTGGCTATTCCAAGCTCTATCATTTTAACTTAAAGGGTTAGTTCACCCAAAAATGAAAATTAGACTCAGTGCATCCATCCATCATAAAAAGTGTCCCACGCGGCTCCGGGGGACGAATAAAGGCCTCCTGTAGTGAATCCATGCATTTTTGTAAGAAAAATATCCATATTTTAAACATAATAAACACTTTTCTCTCACTTCCGTTATCTGTCATACACGGAAGCCGTTCCGGCGGATGATGCAGGACGTCTCTGAGATATGCTAGTCTCGCGAGTTTGTTGAGCAAAGGAAGCAAAGTTTCCTTACTTTAGCAAAGGAAAACCAGTCTCCTCTTGGTATATATCGAAATCCGCCAACATCTTTCTTTGCAAATCATGACCGGCATTTTGTTTTGTTCTCTCTCCGCGTTCGTCAATCACACAATCACAACACTGACGTCTTACGTCATCTGCCGGCACGGCTTCCGCGTATGACAGATGGCGGAAGTGATAGAAAAGTGTTTATTACGTTTGAAATATGGATATTTTTCTTACAAAAAC